AACGATACAACGAAAGGAGGCTGCGACATTGCAAAGGCCACGTCATTTTGGTCTTCATACCTAATGTAAAGTATGTTGTCCTGCTCTGATGATGTCTGTTAAATGATGATCAAAAGTTAAGTAAAGATTCATCGCGTTCCCGGCATGGTGAGCCGACGACTTATTCACACAAATCTATTGCCCAAGGCAGGCCCAATTTGACTTCCAGTGAGGCCAATTTAGGAAACCCTTCTAACTCCGACTCCAATCTATTAATGGATTTTTCGAAAACCATTTTTTCTAAAAAGAGTATTTTTATCAGATTATTATTATTCTGTAGCTATAGTAGTGCTGATTGTGATTAAGATTATGATTATTATTACATGTTTGCCTGAGGCTCTTTCAGAAGAAGTAAAAAATATAACACTGAAGATTTAGAAGACCCAAATATTTGAGAAATTATTTGCAAGACGTGGAGCTTCCAACTCAGTTGCTTATATAACTAATAAGCTTAATTCTTATTCACAGTATTGAGATGGCGAAGATCTCGGTGTTTAAAATGAAATATCAATTAGTGTGATAATTTAATGAACGTGATAGGAAATAGATTTAACCTAGAGTAGATAAGTGAAAAAAGGACAAATAAGAAGATAATTTGATAATGCAGTGCTGAGAGGAAGATGGGTGCATTGGGGAATAGAGATCGAACTTCATAAGCGATGGCAGAATACATACAGGCTGCTTCGATTATAAGTCGTGAGAAGAAGATAAAGTCCTTAGAGCATAGGATAAATAGGATCCCCGAAAAATGCAACAATGTTAAGTATTACAACGGCCAAGTCAAGCCAGAAAAATGTAAATCACAGGGCTAATCTAAATAGGCAGAATGAACAAATCGCTGATAAGTAGAATAAATTAGTACGACCAGTATGTCAGACAGATATGAAGCAGTTCGATGAAAAATACAACTAACCTTGCAAACTTATCTTCTAACCTATTGTGCGCCTCTCTTTTCTCCTTCGTCACAGCCTCCTTGGTTCCTTCATTAGCTTCTTCGTGAAATCGCCAATGGGAATCTTGAGATTCACAGATATCGGTTAATGACAATGACTGGGGAACTGTCACATCTTTGTGTCCCAGCCTTCTGCTTCGATCCTTGGGCTTAGTGCACACACCTTGGCTTGCGTCTTTAGCCACTTCACGATCGCCCAGAGTACTAGAGCGGGGATCCGTGCGGAGAGTAACTGCATCTGATACCGAACCGACCAAATGGCTGATACTAGTCTGACGAGTCTGAGATCTGGCTCCATAAAGCCCGGCTGCGTATATTTCATCAAGCGTAGCGTCAGGCACCAAGTAGCGCACGCTCTGGCCTCGGGAGAGTGCACGGCGCACTAAAGTTGCGCTAAGATCGTTGTGACACCATTCCTTCACCAAGGTGATGTTTTGCTAAACGATATACAATGCTTATAATTCTTTAAATAAAAAATCGAACATTGACAAAAATAAAAACTATGGAAGTTAGTCGTTCCAGAATCACTCGTGTTGAGACAGAATTCCCTTTAAGATTATAGAATGGGCATAAGGTTGAGTATTAAAAAATATAGCTCTAAAAGTTGTTCATGGAAGCTATGAGAGAATGCAAGGCTAAATTACCGATCGAATGAAAAGAAAA